AAAGGAGACAGGCTCCACTTCCCACCGATATTCACATGGTGGGAAAATCATCAAACCTAAATACAGGAGAAGGGATGTAAGTAAATGCCAAGCATCCAAACAAAACAAACCGAAGCAAACAAATGGCTTTTTAAAAATACATATATATATTTTATTGACTTTTTACAGAGAGGAAGGGAGAGGGATAGAGAGTTAGAAACATCCATGAGAGAGAAACATCGCGATCAGCTGCCTCCTGCACACTCCCCACTGGGGATGTGCCCGCAACCAAGGTACATGCCCTTGACCAGAATCGAACCTGGGACCCTTCAGTCTGCAGGCCGAGGTTCTATCCACTGAGGCAAACCGGTTAGGGCAACAAATGGCTTTTTTATACTGGCTACCGAACACTTATTTATTGGTACTGTACACATACAGATTATATTTGCACCTTTTTTGCACTTCTTTTGGATTGCTAGGCTATACTTCACATGTGCTAAAAAGGAATTTAGCACACCTGCTGTGGCAGGAGGCGTTCTGTTGAACACTTCCTCTTCAGTGGTTGTGTCTCTGAAGGGCCTAGTGGGGAATCACTGCAGCCTGAAAATACTGTTCAAGAAATTAAAGTTTAATGCATTGATTTGGGCAGTTCTAATAACCTTATTATAAGGTGTGTTCCTTATCACCTTGTATGTAAAATTTGTTTCTTTATCCATCATCAGTTTTGAAATTCTTGAGAACAGAGATTACATCTTGCAGCTTTTGTAGCCCCAGTGCCTGGCACATAGTAAGCTCTTAGTTTGTAACAAGTCTAGCAGAATTGCTCTCTGGCTGTCTTTGTCCTTCTGCGGCTGTCCTTGCCCTTCTGCGGCCTTCCTTTTGAATTAAGAAATGGATGAGAATATTAGCTTGTAACTATTACCAATAGTTCCATGGTGAGGGGGAGGGGAAAATTTATTGTAATTACTTCATTAGTCTCCCAATGATTTGTTGCTATTAGATTCTATCTGATTTTCTTTGACCTTGGGGTGTTTTGATTTGTGCTTTGTTCTTGCATATTTCTTTTATTTATTTCTACTTTTTTATTGTATTTATTGGGATGACACTGGTTACTGAAATATAGGTCTCAGGTGTACAGTTCTATAATACATCATCTGTATATTGTATATTGTGTTCACCACCCCAAGTCAAGTCTCTTTCTACCTCCCCCACCTCCCTTTCCCTCTGGTAATCACCATACTATTGTCTGTGTCTATGAGTCCTGCATATTTATTTTTATTGAAAAGAAATTTGAACCTGCTTCATGGCTTTTCTTGCCCTTTTCCCCTGTCACTAAGGATTAGCTTATTGTTTTCCATCTGAGTGGAAAAGAAAATGAAATATGAAAATTAGAAGATTAAATGACAAATTGTTACTGGTATAATTTATATTATCATTTTTCTGCTGTGGCACCCATTTTTACTTTGAAGGAGCTCAAAAGGTTGACAGCGGGGTTGTGTTATCTGCTTGTTTTGGTAACTAGCACATAACATTTCATGGTAATTATTTTGTTTGTAAGTCTCCCCACTCCCCAAGGTATTGACCTGAGTCTGGTATATCCCTGCCTGAGGCCTAGCACACAGGAGACTAGCTGTTGAAGTTGTGAAGAGGTAATATTTTGGGGAATTTTAAGTCACTGTATGTTTGTTTTGGGTTTTCTAAACTTCCAAATTGCCTGTAGTTTCCATATCAAGAGCTTCCTCTGGCAAACTCTAATGATAGTTTGCTCTGTAAGATACAGAGGACATCTCTTCCATTATTAAGCCCAACTTGAGGCCTCGTGCCTCCAGGAGGAAGGAGGGTGAAATGGAAGTGGAAAGTCCATCTTTTTCAACCATGGTAGGTTGGAGGAAGAAGGGGGAGCAGAGGTAGAGAAGGCAGACTGTGAGGAATTTATGTTCTGACCTGCTCAGGCCAGAGTTCTGGGGTTGAGGTGAGCATGGTGCATGCATTGAGGAGACCGTGAAAGCAGAAGGCCTTTGGTGCTGCCCCTTATCTGGAGTCTTGAGAGGAGATAACTGTGTAAGTGAGTGCTGAGCCAACGCTGGGGGTTGTAGCCGAGCAGGGTAGAAGGAAGTGATAGATAGATGAGTCTGAGGTGGTGGGGGGTTCTGAAATGCTTTCATACCACTGTGAGGGATGTGGAGTCGCTCAGAGGCCTGTGGAACAGCAGGCGTCATGGCAAAGGACTGTGTGACTCTTAGGTCCGGATCATGGATACC